ACAGTTTGCTCTTGATTTAGTGAATAAAGCTAAAGTTAATCTACAAATTCAGTATTTTATTATTCACTTATACCCAATTTCCAATAGTGATAACGGGACCACCTGGGAGACATACTCTACCAGATGCAAGAGGTTCCATTCCGATTGGTCAAGCTGTCTCGACGTAATCGGTGAACATAAAAAAAAAGAAAAAAATATATATGTCGAATTGAGTAACCTCCTCCTTTTCTAAGTCAGTTAAAAATTGACAGAGTCACCTCTCAGTCGTATAAACAATTGCTTATAACTTTTAAACTATTAACTACAAGCGAAACGGAAATCACTGCAAAAAACTAAAATCGATTCTGAATCATATGGAAAAAACAGATTTGAGATATCTCAATGTGTCGGGTGCTGGTAATTTTTTCAATTTTTTGTTATTGATTAAATGATGGAACTACAAACGAAACTATTGTTACTACAATCAACTACAAACGAAATACTATCATATTCTGTAAAAAAAAGTTAATTTTTTGAAAGTCGAGTGACAGGTTCACATAGCCGTCTTTCGACGCCCAATTTCTACCAATACCCACCATTCCGTATCGAATTTTTGTTCAGTATCCCACGAGAAGAATCTTGAGACAACTTCGCTTAACGGGTCTATAGATAGGCCAAGAGTGAACATGCCACATTCCGCAACCGTTTACATTCGCTATTGGATCACCATTCCGGATGTCTTTTCTAATAGGTAGATTGCTCATCCAGCGTGGCTAATTCTACGATTCTCAGCGACCTTGCAGTACCGTCTACACTCCTCACTCGCTTACCGATCCATTCTTAGATCATCAAGACCCATAGTTCCTCCCTCACAGACTTTCAGGTAAATTGTCAATTTAAAACTCTGACAATATTATGAGTACACTTTCATTGTATTGAGTTTTAAAATATTTCTAAGGTCATTTATCGACGCCAATACCTTTACTCTCGCAAGCTTTCAGATAATTTGTTTTTTTAACACTCTGACAATATGAGTACACTTTCATTATTTTGCATTTCAAAATAATTCTTATTCATCGACACCTTGACCTTGGCTGGCCACGCCAAGCATGACTTCCAGGCCGCGGAAATCTAGGCAAATTTCTAAACAGTCTCAGTTTGTGGCAGATACGCTATTTAGCTTCTTCATTTTACCACCAAAGTGTGGAGCAGTCACTTTCCATGAGTTGTCATTAGGGTTTGAACGTCAGCACCGTTGAACACAGCATTTTAGCTGCGCATAGTTGAAAAGCACAGAATTTTACATTTTGTTACACAGTGTCGCCATTGCACTGTGCTGGAAAGCACCTCCGTGTACTGGCAGCTCATTTCAATTACACACATTTTTCTTCTTTCTTTTAGTTTTTTAAAGAGATCTTCTATTTTTCAATGATAACACCTTGAGTACTCCAGTTTTTCATGTACTTGGCGTAATTTTTGTACTTTTTTGAAGTTTTTATATGTACGTAGAATAGATAAAAATGCGCAACCACTGAAAGAAATGACAGCTTGAGCAACGTCGCACGTAGCGCGAGAGTGTCGAGCGTCCAAAGGTAGGGTTTAAAACATGACGTGTCGAAGCGTGTTGTGCCGAAGCGCATAAAAAAAATTTAGAATCTCCTTTATGATTATTCTTATAATAAATTCGTTCTCTCTTTTCAAGTATTTTCCCAATATTAACCTGCTATTCCCGAAAAACCTGATCCTACATGTATATATAACATTCATAGAGTTGCATAACCGATAAGAGTATGTATACACCGCCGATGTGATATAGTCTTGAAAACAACATATTCTGGTATATTGGTGTTTGACTGTTAAAGGTGAGAATTCCTTTTACTTTGTTAGGAGAAGCAGCTTGATAGAGGTTTCGGAAGTTACTACCTTGAAATAAGTTACTTAATAACGACTTTGCAAAAAGCATTCTTTATTATTAGCACACGCCACAAACTGTTTCTTTACAAATTAATTGTATGACAATTACTTCTGCAAATAGTCGGTGTAAAATTAAAACTAGATGCGTAAAGTATGGCATCATTGTTTTCTCTGTTTGGCACTTTTTCATTGACATTTTATCTACATATTATACAAACGTTTAAAATTATTAAATAATACACTCGTACAAAAAAAATAGGGAACACTTTATAAACCCTAAAAATTAGGCTATATTCCAATAGCTGTAAGTCGGTGAAAAATCATCGTAAAAATAAAATTAAAAAAGCGTTTTAAAGGTTGAAGTTTCAACTTTAATGTGCTATTATGCAATTTTTAAATTTCTATTGTTTTTTTGTTTTGTGTTTTAAAAAATAACACTACATTTTGTTTCTTAAAATTACGTATTTTTAATAACTTAAAAGTCAATGAAAAAATTTTATTTCGAAAAGTTCAAGTCAAATTGTGTAAACTACAATATGTTACCTATAAAATGCTTTTTTTTAGAAATTATCCTATGATTGTTTCTAACCGATTTATACGACTTTAAACAAAAATGCGCATTTCTTACAGAAAGTATCGATACTAGGTGAAAAATCATCGTAGACAAAGAAACAAATAAGCATTTTAACGTTTGAAATATCAACTTTAACGTAATATTGATGGTTTAAACAAATTTTTTTGTCTTTCTTGTTCTGTGCTGCAGAAAGGAATGCATTGTTTTGCGCATAAGTGACGAATCTTTAATACTGTGCAATTTAATAAACAAATTTTTTTGAAAAATTTAACTCAAGTTCTAGAAACTGAGTTCTAGATTCTGATTTGCACAATTTTGAAAGTTAACCCTTTTATTCTCTAAAGGTGATGTTTATCTTGTCGGGTCGTAGTTATTCGACGACGACCACTGCCTTCACGTCTCGTGTAATGTCCTGTTTCTTGATATCTTGCATAAGCTCTACTCACTACGGAAATCGACACATTAACACGTTGCAATATATAACGCATAGAAAAACCTTCTTCTGCAAGTGCAATTACCCGTGCAACTTCTACTCCCGACAAATGTCTGCGCGGCATTTTTAAAATTTTGTTTTGTTTGCTACACTGCAAGAATCACTTGCGCTAAAATTTGGCGTGTAATTTGAATCAATTGGGAGAAGTGATTCTTGCACATTGGATAACGCTAATGTCGGCGGTAATCGTCATCTTTAGAAAATAAAAGGGTTAACTTTCAAAATTGTGCAAATCAGAAAAAAAAGCGTAAAAAGGTTTTTAAAAAAGCATTTTGTACGTAATATGTTGTAGTTTCTAGAACTTGAGTTAAATTTTTCAAAAAAATTTTTTATTAAATTGCACAGTATTAAAGATTCGTCACTTATGCGCAAAACAATGCATTCTTTTTTGCAGCACAGAACAAGAAAGACAAAAAAATTTGTTTAAACCATCAATATTACGTTAAAGTTGATATTTCAAACGTTAAAATGCTTATTTGTTTCTTTGTCTACGATGATTTTTCACCTAGTATCGATACTTTCTGTAAGAAATGCGCATTTTTGTTTAAAGTCGTATAAATCGGTTAGAAACAATCATAGGATAATTTCTAAAAAAAAGCATTTTATAGGTAACATATTGTAGTTTACACAATTTGACTTGAACTTTTCGAAATAAAATTTTTTCATTGACTTTTAAGTTATTAAAAATACGTAATTTTAAGAAACAAAATGTAGTGTTATTTTTTAAAACACAAAACAAAAAAACAATAGAAATTTAAAAATTGCATAATAGCACATTAAAGTTGAAACTTCAACCTTTAAAACGCTTTTTTAATTTTATTTTTACGATGATTTTTCACCGACTTACAGCTATTGGAATATAGCCTAATTTTTAGGGTTTATAAAGTGTTCCCTACTTTTTTTGTACGAGTGTATATAACGAGTATTAATAATTATAAAAATGGAAAGGAAAAGAACAAAAAGACAAACTGTAAAGAGAGTGATATTTTGTATAACTAACATCTTTAGGGATGAATTATTTTGTTTGGTAAGTACTAATTCTAGCTAACAGTGATCCATAACATTCATCGATATTGTGACGACAGTGTAGTGTCGTATGACAGTGAAATTTAATTACAAACCTTATTAGTCGCAATTGTAGTAGTTACCGTCAGGTTCTAATAGTTTATATTTATTATCAAATATTAATGCCGGTAAAAAGACTCCTAAACTAAGAAATATGTGTATCGATTTGCTTTTGTTGAAAGTATATGAACGATATAAACTGTCGTCTTTACAGCGCACGGAAAGGTAGTAAGAAAATATAAAAGTAAAAAAAAAATGTAAATGTCGCAACTATTGTTCGTATTTGCAGTATGAACGTTTTCTTGTGTCTATGTTACGCAGCTTTGTTACCGAATCGTGTTTTGATTTATAGCGCACATAAATCGATGAACGTCTAAGCCTAAATGTTGCCAGCACTCGCTGTCCTCAAAGTAGTTTACAGAAGTTAAAGCATAAGACATGAAATACATTCCGACGATATTGACGAAACGCTGACAGCTGCAATTAATGAGCCATTGAAACGATTCTCATGCGTGGTACACAGTTATTTAATGCCGATTTTAACAAGCCGATAGTGGCTGCTATTGCATTAGTTGCATCGTTTTGGTAACCATGTTTGTAACAAATATTTCTCGAAGTTAGTTATTAGAGATATGTACGATATATGCTCCACAGTTAATGCAAATCCACAATTTAATCGAGTACTTTTATATTTAAAGATGAGTTCGTCTCTTTTTATAGCGAAACACATATGGGTATACCAAATCACGTTCGAGCGTGATTACATTGAAAGAAATATATAGAAAATAATAGACGAAACTTGTCATGCATTTTATACTTAGTATTACACGGTAAATGTTTCGAGAAAAATCGTCTACGGTTCTATGGTACTTTTACAACACATTCAGAATGTTTATATTTTAACTACACTAAATTCCCACAGTATTCGCACTAGAGAAAAAACATGAGATGAAGGTACAAAAACACATCACTAACCGTAGTTGGCAGAGGTGTAAGATATTCCGGACGGAGATACTGATTTGCACTGGAAGTCAACATCTTAGAAAAATGTTTGCTCTCTTATCTCGCACAACTCTGCTATTAATAAAGAATACTGTGATCACTTGCGACAATCCACAGAGGACTGACGAACAAAAATTTGACAAATGGTAAAAACATCGTTTGTCGGTTTTCGGAAGCGTATTCCTTATGGACACAATTCTCTTCGAAAGTGCAAGAAACACAACACACTAGAATGTACAAGAAAATAAAGAAAAATAGATACACGGTACGCATTACAGAACAAATAATATATACTCCTCACGACCGACTTCGAGTTCGAATCGCTACTGAGTAGGTACGCGACTGTTCCGTCGACCGAGCTTCCTCATACCCCACCACTTCCCGCCGCTCACTACTTTGTCCATGGACGAGCGTTCAGCTGACTCACCCCGCCATGCCGCGCATTACCAGCCCCACTCCCCGCGCACCAACCGTCAACCGCTCAAGGCACACCGAAGAAGCTTACCCGTTTACGCTCCGTTGGTAAAACATTCTATACACGGTGGCTCGGAATTCCTAGTACAACCGGAACGGGTGGACTCTACGTCAACGAACAAGACATAATTTTATATAACTTTTATATAATAAATAAGATTTTATTATTTCGGATGAAATAAAGAAATTAATAGTATCCAAGTTTAATAAAAGAAATTTGAACATTATCTAGTTATCTCTATAATCTTGTATCATTACTAATATGATATTTAAAAAAACGAACTATTTATAAAATATATTCGCTAATGCAACATAAACATAACGAAACATAAATGAGGTAATTGGTATTAATAGATTCGCAACTTTTATCAGATATTTATTTCTATTAACACGTTCACTGCCAGACTAATACCCTTGAAAATTTCTACTGCGATTTAATTTTGTTTAGAGACTTTTAGAAACTGCGTAATGAAATATTTATTTTGGTATTTAGTTCCGTAATTTTATCAAAATTCAAGTATTTCATTTAAATTCATTTTGTATGGCACTTAACTTTCAGAATTAATAGTTTTCGTTTTTCAGTGAAAAGCACTATTACCCATATATGGGTGACGTGGCGATCAACGTGTTAAGGAGGGAATCTGGTCCAGCTAATGTATTTTTCTAATGCATATAATTTCCAAATATGATTAATTTTTGTTATTGAAACTTTTTTACATATAAAGGGACGTTCAAAGAAGAAAATTTGACACTGTAGATTTAATTTGAATCTACACAAGGAATGAATTCGGTCAAAACGGTGAGACGCATAGCTCATCGACTTTTTATCCAATTCACTTGATTCAACACTTAAATTGAAGGTAATTAAGTTTATATGCGTATGAACTTTGATTCTTAATGATCTATTACCATAGCATAAAGTTATTGCAAAATAACGGCCGAGATGTATCGTTCATTTTCATGTTTTTTGCCGCCATTTTTGCAATTAACAATTTTTTTTTTGCAAATTGAGGTTCATACGCATTTTACGTACCTACTAAAGAAACAAATTTTCTGATTTTACCTATCAGATGTTTTCCCAGGGCTCCACATATCTCAGCGTTTTGACCAAATTCTTTCCTTGTGACTACTATATCCATGTATGTATACATTCAAATTAAATGTATACTGTCAAATTTTCATATAATAACAAAAATTAATTATATCTGGAAATTGTATGCATTAGAAAAATACACTGCTCGTCAAAAAATTCGAGACACTTTTTCAAAACGTCATAACTATGAGAGTTTTCAACCGATCTTCGAGAAACTTCACGAGGCTTAGTGTTAAAGTGTCCTCTGGGTGTGTGCAAAGTTGCATTGACGAGGGTTCATGAGAAGAGATTAATTCACCCCCCTAAATGGGGTAATGCAAAAAAACGGCACTTCGGAAGGGTCCAGGAGTGACGGAAGGGGGTGAAAAAATCAAACAAACCTTTGGGGTGACTGATGCCCTCTACAAAATGCACCCCTTGGAATCCCTCTCGGACAAACCCACTCCTCACAAACCCCCTCCTTCTCTAAAATCCACAATTTTTGAACTACAGACTCGAATCTGGGCTCAATGCATTCCCTGGAATCCCCTGATGCAGGCCCTCGCTCCGCTTCTGAATGCCGGCTACACCCGCCCCACTTACTACTCTTTCGAATCTGCTCCGATTTCACAACGAAAGCGTGATTAATAAAATCTGATTTTTTGGGGATCTGCTAATGAAGCATTTGCGTGTCCGAATCCGCGAACAGCGTTGACCTGGGGTTACTCGTTCAGCCATTAGACGGCCCTAAACTTGGGGGTGGGTTTTCCAAAAAAACAACGTTTTCATTTATTAATACTGTCCATGAGAGGAAAAAACATGAAAACAGTGTTTAAAACAGTGTGTCCGACCCCTACGCCTGAGGGTGGACCACTCCTAACTTTGGACCACCCCTGTTCAGCTCTAGGGGTAGTTTCGAAACGGAACCTTTTCGGCATTGATCCTTGGTATACCGACAACAAATCTGGCGAATTTCATCACCCTCTGATGTGTGGAAGTGCCCTTTCACGGAGGGGGTTGAAGTTGTAGTCCAAAAATTGTGGATTTTAGAGAAGGTGGGGGTTTGTGAGGGATGGGTTTGTCCGAGCGGAATTCCAAAGGGTGCATTTTGTAGAGGACATCAAGGAGAGTCACCCCAAAGGTTTTTTTTATTTTTTCACCCCCTTCCGGTACTCCTGACACTTCCGAAATGCCGTTTTTTTGCACTACCCCATTTAGGGGAGTGAATTAACCCCTTTTCATCGACCCTCATTAATGCAACTTTGCACACACCCAGAGGACACTTCAACACTAGGCCTTACGAAATTTCTCGAAGATCGGTTGAAAACTCTCATAGTTATGACGTTTTGAAAAAGTGTCTCGAATTTTTTGACGAGAAATATACATTAGCTAGACCAGACTCCCCCCTTAAGAAAGTGTCTACATACTTCTGAGCGGGGGTGTAACTGCTGATCAAATTAATGATGATTTTCTCGAAAATAAGGCCACGGATGAGAAAATTTTATAAACAATTTTTATCTTATTCGTTCACGTAGAATATCACGCTTCCCGAATATACTACAAAATCCAACCCACTATGTATAATTTTCCACCATTGGACATCCAGCGAAGGAGATGGCTTTTTTCGAATCAATTTATCACTTTCACATGGGTAAGTCGAAGTGGAAGAGAAATAATAGAAGCAGGCAACTTTGTTGTAGAAATTGTTTTCGATTTTTGTTACTTTTAACAAACGACATTAATAGTAAACAAATAAAGAGATTAGGTAAATTACGTAGTTCAAAAACTCGATTGTACGACACCTCCGCTTCATTGCCTGACTCTAATACTAGCGCGTTACTATGGCAAAATAGAAATTTACCTTATAAAACTATAAAATAGTGCTGCGTGTTAGTACAAAATTTAAAATGAGTACTCGTAATGAGTAAAGAGATCCGCTACTTTCATTTTAATCCCATTTCAGAATATATTTCAGACAAATTATCTGTAAACTTTTCGTCGTTACTATGTATTATTGTTAGGTATGAAATACCTATTTTCTGAAATTTTACAGCGTAATGAACTTTAATAAAATTGAATTACATACAGATATTAAAAAAAAATTATACACAACTATTGCTAAGATCCTTCCATTCCAGTTCGTGTTGCTTGGACGTTACTTGAAGCACCAAGTTTCTCCGACACGGCGGTAATGAATGTCGGATTATACATACTATCTTCGTATATTAGAAACGCATATTTTGAAAAATATTTCAATATATTAATTTACTCTGTGAACAATGTATATTCGTGTACTACAAGTCTACACTGTTTGAACGCGCAGTTAGAATTGTAATTTATTCCAAAACAAATAAGGACTACATTAGGACTCCAAAATGATGTAACCTCTTAAGATACATCGTGCAAATTCTCTTAGATTTTTCTGTTCCGCGACATTATTCTGTGTCGCTAATCTTATAAGAATCAACCGAAACGTCTCCTTTTCGATACGTGACACCGATTTTTCGTCGCCGTTGTACTTTCTCATATATTATCGCTCAAAGCTAGTCGGGAATAGATGATCACCCTCCGCTCACCGCACATCGATCAGACGAAGTGTAAACACGATTAGTATAACGTGCTGCTAATGAACTAATGCCGTCGACAAATACGAACCCGTACCGTAGAATGGCACTGGGTTTGCTAATATTCTTGTTCCCGACGTAGTTGTTTTCTTCTATTCCGATTCTTTCCTCCTAAGTTCACAAACCCTGCTCCAGAAATGCCGCGTTATTTATGTCTAGTCTGTAGCAAAAAGCAACTCCGGTTACGCATTCTGTGCAAGGGCTACACGAAATCGACAACTGTCGCCTCAGTCGTCAGCTTCGTGTTCTTCGTATTCATCTATCTTTCTTGCTACATCTCTATTTTCTTTTTTACTCTTTTATCTACCGGTGTACTGGCCTCCTCCGTATCCTTCTTTATTCTATTCATTACCGTCATGAAGATAATTCGCAACCTTGATGTCATTCGTTCAAAGCTTATGACTAGATACCTAGTAACACGATATCCTTCGTTTAAGGGTGCGCAGGACCCAGAGCCAAACTCCGAGTTGACTTCAGCGACAGTTGCGGAAAAAGTAGGAAACTCCGGGACAAGGACAGAGAGGGCGATACAACAATTGCAGGAGAGACGAGGACGGGACGATTAGGCTAGCATGATTCTTGTCAAGGATTTTGAAGGAAAGAAGCAATATTTTCTAATAATTCTGGTTTCAAAATATTCCTTATACCTTGGCACATGCCACTGTAAGGCCCGATTTTGGAAAAAGTGTTTGTAAACAAATGTATTCTGTAAGAAAAGAAGGAACCATACTTTTATTATTTATAAAGTTTCAAGACCGAAATTGCAAAATCGGGCGTTAGAGTGCCATGCGGAGTGATGTACAGAATATTTTAGAAAAAGAATCGTGAGAAAATATTGCTTCTTCGCTTCAAAAAACTTGATGAACTTCGTTGCTGTGAAATCTTGATGATTTATATGGCAATATGGCTGCCTCGCTGTCGCGCTTTCCGTTGTGGCGCTGTCGTCGTCTGTTCTGTTGTTACTATATCGTCAGTCTACACACGGTTTTCCACGTGGTTTAGACCAGGGATGGCCAACTGTTTTTGCCCCCGGACCGAATTGGAAAAAAAATATTTTCACTGGCCAGATGAAATATTAAAATTGAAAAATGTGAAGGAAAACACTTATTTCTTTATGTAAACAAAATATTATTATAAAATTTGTTTATGAATAACTGTTACTTAAGCAATACAACATTTATTTCTAATCGAAATGAATTAAATTAACGTTTCCTATATAAATAGGAGAATGATACAAAAACAGAGTAAAATTGGAATTTTTGTACCTTTACTCAATTGTTCCTAACTACGGTATTTATCCATAGATTATATTCGACAAAAGCTTGCTTTCTTCGTAAAAGTGCGATCTATGCGTAAACAATAAGAAACGGGACATAATTTGACAGTTACTAATTTTGCATGGCGATGGAAGAAATTTATGTGTTCTAATTTAGCCGAAGAAATTGAAAGTTTCTCATATGTGTTGGCCCGTAACATTTGAACTATTGAACCGATTGGAAAACAATGTCAAACGCAATTGTTGGAAATTCGATTATGGCAACTTCTCTTCAGAAATGTTTGCTGAAACCTATAATGCATAGTAAATTCGACCTAAGTGAATAACTTTTCATTAAAATACAAAAGTATTTCGTGAAAAGTACTCGCGTCGGCAACTTTTTGAACTTCGGCGTTCATTTACAGGCATTCAAAAGAGCAGATAATTCATATTCAGAAAACATTCCTCTATCATTTAGGACTAAATAGAACTTTCTAGCGTTCGTAGTTTTCAAGTAGTACTACGTTTTCTCTCAAAATCGACCGTATTTACAAAATCTCTAATTTCTCGAAAACTAAGGGTGATGGAGCAATTTCACTTTCAAATTTGTATTTAGGGCGAGGAACCCTATAAGAATCACCTACTGGATATCGCGGAATTTAAAAAAAGTTTAAATTTGTTGGTCAGTGTAATCTGTATACTAATGGAGCTGCGGATCTAAAAAGTTGGGGAACTTCTGGACTAGGGTGTATAATGGGAAATACAAATTAAGGTAATATACACTTGATAATTTTAGTTTATTTTTTTTTAAATTTTATTTAATATAGACATTTTTGATTATTCGTGACCCTCGTTGATTCGCAGGTGGTCTTACTACTATTTTCTCCACTGCGGCCCTTCTGCGGCGTCTGTTATCGCGCTGCCGCCGCCGCCGGTTACTCTGAAATTAGTATAACGAAATATATTAATTTTAAGTACTAATAAAAAATTATTGACATAATTTTGGTTAACGATTATTTTTAAACGTACCACATTCTCGCGTTGCCGCCGCGCGAAGGTTGGTGGTGGCGGCGGAGGCTGGGGGACGGCCGCCGCGAAGAAACGTGGTGGCAGCGGGAGCTGCGGCATACCCAGTGGTGTGACAATATATGACACCCCATATTGTCCTATTATGTGAGTATCCCTGAAGATCAATCGATCAAGACCGTATGTAACTGTTGGAAAAACAAACAAAGATGAATATACAATTTTTACAATATTTTTCAATTACTATAAATAAGTAATCATACCTTCCTCCAGGCTGCTCATTCTGTAATAAAACAAAAAAGAATATTAGATTGTATACTATATAGATATTCAAACAAAGTTTTAATTATTTAATAACATACGCACGCGAAGTGTGCACCGAATTCTTTAATCAGAATTTTTTCCTATGTAAAGAAGGGTATGTAGAACAATCTCTGAAAGTAGGAACGCACAACTCTCTCTTGTTTTCGAGAAATAAATATTAAAAAATATCTAAATTTCGATTGACGAGTGTCGACCGTACCCGTGTTGGGGATGTCATAGAAACATCGTAGCGCAGTCGGTGGAGTGTCAGGTTGCGAAGTGAATATTTTGCCCTGGACGCGGTTCGCTCCCGGTAGGAGACACTTATTATTTTACGTTTTGATGTGGAAACTACCTTTCTATTGTATAAAGATTATTTTAATAAAATATCGTGTAATTTGTATGTTTTTTATCGCATTGAAAAGGGAGTCAGGATGTGGAGAAGAGTTTCTACAAGCTTTTATAAACATTATTTACAGCGTAATCACCATTTGTCCTACTCTAAGAATAAAAATGTAAAATTTACGCTGTGAATAATTTGTATAAAAGCTTGTGGAAACTCTTCCCCACATCCTGACTCCCTTTTCAATGCGATAAAAAACATACAAATACACGATATTTTATTAAAATAATCTTTATACAATAGAAAGGTAGTTTCGAAGGGATCGAACCGCGTCCAGGGAAAAATATTCACTTCACAACTTGACACTCCACCCACATTTAAACATTTATTTTTCGAAAACGAGAGAGAGTTGCGCGTTCTAACTTTCACAGATTGTTCTACATACGTTTTTATACACAGGAAAAACTTCTGATTACAGAATTCGGTGCACACTTCGCGATGTCTTGTCAGTATCCTTAAATAATTACCTTCAATATTCAATGTCACTTTGCTAAACTGTTCACGATTTGACGTTTTCAACAGAAGTGACGGCGTTCGCGACGACACCTCCAGGTCCCCTTTGGCCAGCCCCCTTGAAGCCCGAGTGGGGGGCATGCCTGCGTTTGGGGGTCCTCGAAGATTTGTCGATGCCCCGAAATTTCCTTTACGATCGAAGGAACCGTTACTTCTAATACTTCTAACTGATTATTCATTAAATAATTTTGTACTAATTTGCTACGATAAGAACTACACACAACTTTATACAACTTCACACCACATACGATTGTGGGTATTTCTGCTTAAGGGGTTAGTCGCAGTCAGGAAGAGGAAAAACGACATTTCTTTGTGATTTTTTTTAGTTATTAAATAATAATTTGCATAAGTAGCAATCAAGTATATTACAAAGCATGTTTTAAAGAACTAAAAAACATTTTCTGTTTTAAGAAACGTTTAATTTATATCGTCATAACAGCCGATGACGTAAACGATGATTTAAAAACGTAGGTTTGCGGTGAGCAAGATTTCTCTACACTGGTTTACCTGAAAACAAAAACAAAGGTAGATTTAGAAAATATATTAGACTAATGGGTCCCTGAACGAAGGATTTTGGAAAAAATTAATTTAAAACAAGATGGCCTACATTTGAAGTTGATTTTCAATTTTTTTCACTAAAATTAAGCGATTCAATACAGGATAAAAAAAAGTATACAAGAAAATAAAAAATCCTTCGTTCAGGGACCCATTAGTCTAATATATTTTCTAAATCTACCTTTAGTTTTGTTTCCAGGTGCGCCAGTTTGAAGAAATCTTGCTCACCGCAAAGCAAGTGGACATCCACGCCATCGCCTGTTATGACGAAATGAATTAACCTTTTCTTATAACAAAAATTCTTTTATAATTCTTTAAGACATATTTTGTAATATATGTACATTTCATTAATAAAAATTATTATTTAATACTTTAAAAAAAACACAAGAAATTGTCCGTTTCCATTTTCCTGACTGCGACTAACCTCTTAAACTTCAAACAGCCTAGATAAAACTTTTCATTCATTATTTTCCAAACGAATTTTCCAGCATCATCGTTTGTCTCGATACAGGCACGAGATACGTCACAAAAACAACTTTCCCTCAATCGTCAACAATACAACTAGGCCAATCGGTAGAGAATTAAAACAGCGTTTTGGTGACAAAAGTACTAATAAAAGGGATGCGTAGATGAATAGGTATATGTTTTTCACTCTCAACTCTGTTCCGTTTTCTTCTTATAAACAATTTAATCCAAGAAAATCTTGATTTTTGTCGTTTTTTGCGTATAAATTTTAAAGTAATGCAGCAATATCAATCCTCGAAGCAGATGAAATGTAGATGATGAAAATACCTACAGAATGAGGCGTTGAATGTTTCGATCGGATAATGAGAAACGGAGAAAAATTGGGAAAACCGAAGAATTCAACGTATACAATAATGTATATGTATATAAGTAGTAATAACGTAGCGTAGCGCGTGCCTATTACTATACTATATATGCCATTCTCCTCGGCTGCCGCTGTGTCCTCCACCGCTCGAACGCGATGGAACGCAAAAGAGTACTCTTCGTAGAAAAAAATAAAAGAAATAAAACTATTGAACAGGTCCACTAGAATACCTCGTGCACCTTTCAAGTCCGTATATCAATCACATTTTTTATATCATTATTATAACTTCTTGCACACGCCTTTTTACAAGAGCTGGGAGTTTTATCCTGTTTCAAAGTTCATTGAAATCAGTGATGGGCAAAACCTTAAGCTTCGAGTAAATCTGAAGTTTGCCGACATGTTTGTCTCGTTTCCTCTTTTGAACATTTTCCAAAGAAAGAAACGAGACAAACACATCGGCAAACTTCAGGTTTATTCGAAGCCTAGGGTTTTGCCCATCCCTGATTGAAATACGTTCAAATATCAACATTAAAGACTACAACATATTCGTCAAAATCTGAGATGCTACTCCAAAAAAAGTCCGATTTCCCTCGCAATAACGCTACATACCCTAAATACCCTTTGTACCTGGGTGCAGTTATTCATCGATGAACTCAAAAAAAGAAGGAATTATTGGTTCGAAACAGGCCGGTTTATTAGCGTATAGCATGCCAGCCTACGGCGTGTTTGTGTACCTGTGTGCAATAAACCGAATTTGGGGATATTAGTTATTAAGTTATTATCTTCTGCAGAGGTTTGTCAATTCTAAGAGACCATCTGGAACACGACTTTATGATACCCTGGCTGAAACTAAAGTAGACAATTGCTTATTTCTAAACGAAAAGGTGTTTCTTTTCGATTACAGGTCGTTCAACTAACTCTCGTCCTCTCTTTGCGCTCGTTTACATATTATCACACACATACTTCCTTCTCACTCGTTCCTTTCTCATAAAAAAAAATGAAAAATATAAAGAATTAAGGAAACATATTACACCCTAACGCTAAAAGCACAGTTATAGATTTCTGATTGCGTATTGTTTGTTTTGTCTTACTATGTGACTGTACACCGTGTATAAAATATTGTAGAGGCGAAACGGCTAGTCGTAGTCGCGTAGACTGCTAAAACTGTTGTCCAAAGAACTCCAAACGACTAAATAACTTTACTATTCTGAAGGGTGAAATTGCGCGCTGTAAAAACCGTAACTGAAGTTCGAAAGAAAGTTAATCGCGAAAATAAGTTGATTGGTACGTCCGTGTCATAAACGATCCGTCGAGGATTTCTACCGTTCCGCATCGGACGGAACATACACATACCAAACACGATATAATAGCGATTAATTTAAGATTTTTCTGCTGCGTAACAGCGTGATATGTAGAATTTATATTACACGAATAATTAAAATTAATCGATATTATATAGTGTTTGGTACCATTTTCATCAGTATAACATCAGGAATTCAGTAGTGCAATTTGTTTCTTTAACTTTTATAAAATACAACAAAAAGTGAACATATTATGACAAACATTTCACACTTTATTGCTCGGACCCTTTGAGGTCCGTCGCGTCGTGGGTTAAAATCGGCACACGTGCGCTTTGGATGGTTCAACCCTTGGTTTATGGCTTTTAGTGGATCACCCGATTTCACTTCATATGCATCGTATTATTATGGGAGTTATGCCGATGGATTCCTTGTGTATTGATTCCTTGATGTACCTAGAATATTGTTACGTCCCAGCTTATCTGAGACTCTTTCTTGGGATCTTTGTCTTCAATTAAAGAGCTAAAGCTCACCTTAACTGTATTCGCTAACGGGAAAGAGCAATTCGGGATTGCAATGATTGTTTCCAAGGTTTAGCATATAAATATATATATAATGTTACAAAATAACGAGTTTATATTACAATATCGGTTTTAGGAAATCAAGTATACAATTATTCAGGTACGTTACCGCTTGTCGGTCTTACAGTTTGGATGTACCAGCTATCTGTTGTGGTCCCAGGGCTGTGCTTGTTGCAAGGATCTGTTTGTCGGCAACTATCACTCGCGACACGGGTCTCTACTAATTAACAACGGACTTTCCTCGGTAACGACGCGGCGCGCGTACGATTACTCTATCCGTGACTAAAATAATTTAGTATTTGATGACCAAAGCGCGAGAGCTGAGTGCGTGTTCGATTGATGATAAAGATTCGATGTGATCTTAAACCGATTATACGACGGACTTTCGTAGGTAACGACAACGCGTGAAGTTAACCTGTCCGTGACTACAAGATTTCGGTAATTATCACGATGATAACGTACTGACAGTGGAATAAAAGAGACGCTAAGCAGCTAAGCAGCCCCGTGGGGTGTGTTCGCGGGTTTATATACTAGCTGATCCTCGCAAGGCACGAGCCGCGTTCGGGAATCTTCGTTTTTGCATACGTTGAAATCGGGAGGAATCCCAAGTTCAGCGGATGTGATGGAGTTGAGTGCTGACGCCTATATCGCCGATTGGCACATCCCACGATTCGGTTCCCGAGAAACGGTTTCCTAATCGTACGTCAAGCGCATTCCTAAAAGTATCCGATCTTAACTTATTCGCAATGCGAGGTCGATGAACAGGGACACCGGCAGGGCCGAATGTAACATGTAACTAGAATGTCATTCTCAATAGACATAATTGAAAAGTCAGTTAACTATTCTTGATTCATTGTAGAACGTAAATAGTTCTTAATAATTTTGAATTCGGAAAAACGCCTTTCTCCGGAAGTTAGCGAAACAGACAAATCTAAATATGTTAAGTTCACCACTGAATGGCAGTAAATTCAAAGATTTTTTACAATTTCAGATAACTGTACCATAACTTACAAAATACCGACAATCGAGACGGTAGAAATAACATACGAATGTAGGCTGAAAAAAAGTACAAATAAAAAAGCACTTTAAAAAAGAACTTTATTCCTCGCACGTGCCTAAAACCAAAGAGGGATCAATGACATCGATGCATTCTTGTCATTATTTCCTCCTCGCTTATATAAACATAGGAGAAAAGACCCGAGGACCCTGGCCTACTCAAGGCCACGACCTACCTCAACAGTCAATGGATAAGCCGAGCTATAAGGTAAGACAGGGAAAGGAGTAGGAGAAACGAGCCATCTCGTTCATACGCGTATTCATAAGGAAGGGCGTGGGGCAAAGGCAGAGAGTTTTTCAACCGGACGAACCGCATCCGCGATTCGGAACATAACAAAATTCCCCCCCTCTTGTTTCAAAAAAGAAATGATTTTTAATCGTAATAGTCCGATTTACGCGATGTAAGATATCATTTTAATCGGGAGAACACTAAGAACCCAATGGCACCACGTTCACGTTGATACGATGAAGAATAAAGAATTTGGTTTTATGAAAAATTGATCAGTCGATCGCCCGTTCATACCGAGACTGTCGAGCGAACCCAGGTAGGCGCTCGGCGCAGAACAAAAGATACGGACAGTCAATCGTAAAATGATGTACTGCTGTACATAAAATGTTTATATTTTTCATCAGATTGTCGCAAAAATAGTATCAATGGATTCCTTATGCTTTCCCGATAAAAATGATATCAAACACCACATAATCGCGGTAATAACCTTGTAGCAAATGTGAAAGGTTGCATTGTGAAACGTTCCGGCATACGACAGATAGTATCGTCTATGCCATAGACTCTATGGGACGTTTTAGAATTTCGTTCGTTTTTCAAGCTTTATGCACGCCTGTGCAACACATGGGTCTGACTTAGCGAAAGTGCCACCTTTCGCTGGGTTCACGGCACAGGCCATACTGTTATAATGTTTTTTTTTAACACAACATAAGAACATCGGGTGTCCCGGCTCTGGACAACTAGTTTCCATCGATCAGTCGCATCGTTCGGATGCGTCCGCGATCCGTGGTTGTGTACAAATATTAGTAGTTTGTGTTTGAGTTGTAAGCATTTTTTACTCTTAATTTCTTTCATTTTTACTTTTTTTAATTTTTTACATTTATTTTTTTTATTTTTTTTTCATTTTTTCAAATTTAATTTCGTGTGTATAAAGTGTGAATATACCAAAGTGTCGAAGAGCAGGAAATCGCAGGGCGTCTTCATTGAGGCGACATATGAGCCGTGCGCGTAAATCCAGGAACCTAGTGCGTCCAGCGAATGTGCAACCAGGTATGTGCGATCAATTTCAAGAAGAAGATGCGGATCGTTTGCGTCCTGCCGAGATTAGTGGAAGGAGCATTGTCGATTTTGGACATATTTTTGCAGAATTGCAAAAACTGTCCAACCACAATCCGAACATGTGCATTTTCACTAATCTGGTCATTACGAAAACGATCCGTTATGGGTTGAAAACCAAGTATTTTGTCGAATGTCAAATGTGTCGTTTTAAAGATAACTTCTGGAGCGAACCGACAGACGACAACATATTGGATATCAATAGAGATGCCGTATACGGTACTCTATTAACAGGGACTGGCCACACACAGTTAGAAGAACTGTTGGCTGCTATCGATGTTCCATGCATGTCTAATAAAACGTATCTAAAGTATGAAAGCGAAGTATATAAAGCTTTTGCTGACGCCGCCGAAGAAGAAATGCGATTTGCCGGCGAAGCGGAAAAACAATTAGCAATTGCAAGAGGTGACCTAATCAATGGTATCCCTCATATACCTGTGGTAACGGATGGTTCATGGATGAAGAAATCGTATCGCGGTGGTGGTTACGATTCTCCGTCTGGAAGCGCCTTTATCGTAGGTTATTATACGCGAAAGATATTATTCGTAGGTGTCAGAAATAAATATTGTGTTGTATGCGCACGCGCGTTTAATAGAAACATGACAGCGAAACAGCATGTATGTTTTAAGAACTGGGGACGTCATCAGAGTTCTACCAGCATGGAAAGCGACATTATATGAGAAGGCTTTCGCAATAGCTTAGAGATGCATGGCTTAATATATAGTAAATACATTGGTGATGGGGATAGTAATGTCTTAAAAAAACTAAGAGATTTCCCACCGTACCCGAACCTTGTTGTGAAGAAGATTGAATGCATAAATCATCTTCTTCGCAATTTGGCAAACAAAATACGAGACGCGGGTAATGGTGCCTCATATTTAAAAGCAATAGTTTCGAGTAGTGATTCGAAAATTAGAAACGCTGTAGTAAAGGCTGTAACGTATCGCCGCAATAGCCAAGTATCTTGGGAACGCAAAATTGCTGGTTTAATGAAAGATTTACAAAATATACCTAGCCATGTGTTTGGCGAACACAAAGATTGTGCCTAGTTACAATATTTTTGCAACGGAAATTCAAAAGAGAACGAGGCAAATCTTGTTCCCAAATTGCAAAACGCGCGAGTATATTGTAAAATCGAAAGTGGAATGAAACGTTTGGTAGTGAATGCGGAAAGTTTATTGTACAATTATACCAGCAATTCTGTGGAAAGCTGCAATGCAATTATTTGCAAATTTATTGGCGGGAAACGGACGCATTTCACTCAAAAAGGTTCTTACCAAGCACGTGTAAAAGCAACAGTCGTAAAATGTAATAGTTTCAAACCGATGACTGGTGCTTGCCGTGCAATGGGTAGAGAGCCGCCAGCACGCATGTGTAATATGAATAAAAACCACGCGTAGTATTTCCAAGTTCAAGGGCAACTGCACATTACGCAAAGAAAGTATTGTATTTTTGCAATGTGGACGCCTCTTGGAATAAAGTACGTGATTGTTGAGCGCGATGATACATTTTGGAAAGACAAAATGTTACCATCGTTACAGCGATTCTACGAAGAATGCTTGGTTCCCGAAATAATAGATAGTAGAGTTGTTAGAAGCATGCCAATTCGGGAACCGCAGTATATCATTGAAGCGCAAGAAGTGGCCAAAAGCAGGAAAATTGTATCGAATAATTAATAGCTATGTAGAAATACGTAAAAAATTGGTAGTATTAATATTTATTTTGGTGGAGTTTTAGTGGGTATTCCTCTCCTTCTGACGGGCGAGCCTCACACTACCCCCACCGTTTGAGGGGTGTGCGTAAATGCATTTCTCCACGTATAAAAAAAAAAAAAAGAAGGGGGAGGGAGAGAGGGAACATTATAATAAAAACAGAAATTTTGTCCAGCAAAAAAAACGACGAACATTTGAAGGTAAATATTGTTCACTTTCCTCTGCATCAAACGGTACTGTCCAAGAGAAACTGTTTTTTTCAGCTCAAGAGGGATCCAGGTATTGTCACCGAATTCTTAACATCGGACAAGCGACAAGCGTCCAGGAAGAAACCCCGGTACTCTCCCTTCTCCGAGCAGGCGTCTAACGATGAGACTCTTATAGATTATTAATTTTAGGTGTATGTTATACTTGTATTTGATTTTTACATTAAAATTATTTTGGAATATGGGGAATTGTTAAAAGATAACACGCTAAAATACATATGTATAAGAAAATAATGATAAAATGATTGTTACACAAAATGATCTAATATGCAAGAAAGAATTGACAAATATCAGGGAAGTATAAATTATTTATTGTATTACATACCGTTCTGCGCTTGCGTTTGTTCAGTGTATCATACTTGTCATTTTATAAAATAAAATTAATAACAAGAAAGATAAGATTTTACATTTACTATTGTTATATTTGATTATTAATAACAGCATACATTTTCAAATTCGTAATAAATTGATATATTAAATATTAGTATTGTAGTATGCGACAAAAAGTATGTAGAAGAAAGTCGAGTATGTAAAATTGGCAAGGAGCGACTCTCTTTCGTTTCCGAAAAATAAATATTAAAAAATATCTAAATTTCGATTGACGAGTGTCAATCGAACAAGTGTTAGAGAAGAGGTGTACTAGAAACAGCGTTATAAACTACAAATTATAGCTAAAATTAGCAACCGTAAACTGGAACTTCAACATGAGCTTTTAATAACCAACAATGAAATAAATATATAGGAATTTTAATAAAAAAAGATAATATTATATAAATAAATATAAATTTATATATATTTAAATTATCATTATTTAACCTTATTCCTAATATAAAAAATACATTTGTATTAAAAAATATAATAATGTAAAAAATAAATATTACTAAAGGTAAAGAAAAAAATAATGTTTAAAATATAAAATAATATCTCAATATTAATCGTATAATTTCTAATCCTCGATAAACAATAATTATAAATGTCAAAATTAATCTTACTCCATAATAAAAATAAAAGTTTATTAAATCTAAAGATAGAAAAATTATCGATAAAACTATTAATAAAACATTAAATAATAAAATATAAATATTTTCATATAAATTTAAATTTAAAATATAAATATATTGCTTATTTTCCATTATTAAATTTATATTTATAGATGTAATATAGAATTCTAGTACTTCGCAAAGCATTTATTACAATCATTTACAATTATATAAGTTTTTTTACCAATTTCTATATACATATACACACTTACTTAAAAGAAAAATGTATGACCGCGGGCATTTTTTAAACTTACTACGATACTGAACCATGATGAAAAGCGTCTTAGACTACTGGCGTAACAACCACAGCAGAGACGACAGCAGCGCTGCAGTGGACAGCGTGATAGCGGAGCAACCATATTGCCATACAAATCATTGAGATTTCACAGCAACGAAGCTCATCAAGTTTTTTGAAGCGAAGAAGCAATATTTTTATATCACTAAAATATTCTTTATATCACTCCGCATGCCACTCTAACGCCTGATTTTGCAATTTCACCTTTAAAATATGATAAAAATATGTTTTTAAGGAACAAATTTTTTTTTTGCAAATTTTCGAAACAAACTCTTGATAGGTCGATAGATTTACTTCCCCTGATTACAAAATGCATAATCATTATGTGTTTGTTTTCATTATTGTGCATAAAAAACGCGAAAAACTGTTTCGTAGTTCACCTATTCTCCGTTGCTCTTCGTTGGTGGCGCTAGTTTAGTTCCTGCGCAGCCTTAACGGTTATTACTACCTTTATCGATGATATCGATATTGATAAACTAATTTATTTCTTTACATACTTACAAACGGAATCAAACCCTATTGCATAACAATATCTTACATATGGATACCCGATCCATTTTGTCGCAAAATTTATTTTCGTTACCTATTTATCTAGAGACGCGGCAGCGTCTCGACGCCAAGTATATGAAAAAATAAGCTTCCCCGTATATGCCTGGCGCTGGTGCTACCGCGTATCTTTTACTCGAGAAAACACGATTCCAACCTAACCCGAAACTGCTGTCATTAATATCTCGTCACGCCTGCTGTATTTTCTAAATCTAAAGGCATTTTTCTAATGTAAATCGCATATAAGCTTTCGAATAAAACCAAAATCAATAAAATCGGTCCACGAACGACAGAGATATCGTAATATCATATCATGAATGTGTCAAAAACTGCAGCCTTTTTCTTTTCCTTTGATAAGGAATTTTTCGTCAACACTTAGCCAATAGGAGCTAAGGCCGTTCGTCGATTCGTCGACTCTCGGAATCAGTCGGCAAGGCTCGTTCATTTCTAACTTGTAACTGTCAGTTTGGATTTGTGACATTTGCTTTCTTGCAACAAGACTTTCTGACATGCATTGTGTGTACTTTTGAAAATTTAAAGGACTGAAACTGGAATTATAATACAATAAATTGTGTGTTACCAATAGTGGATCTCTTTGTAGATTTTCCCACTTTATTTATTAACATTTAAACTTGTTACAACAAGATTTTCTGCCACACGTTCTGCACACTTGTGAATTTTATTCTAATAGAATACATTGTGCGTTACACATAGTGGATCTCTTTCCTTATTTCTCATTTCATGTTGAACATTTAAATTTCTAGCAACAAGACATTTTGCGATGCGTTGTGTGTACTTTGGAAACATAAAAGACTGAAACTGGTATTATAATATAATAAATTGTGGGTTAGAAATAGTGTAGACCTTTTTTTTCACTTCATACTTCATTTTTGACATTTAAGTTTGTTACGACAAGACTTTCTGCCATGCGTTATGTGTGTTTTTGAAAACTTAAGGGACTGAATCTGGTATTGTAATATAATAAGTTGTGCGTTATTCATATGACATTAATTTTACTTGTAAATAACACATACAAAAGCCTTATTTTACTTGCAAATTAATGTAGAGCTTAAAATAAAAATATATTTGTCTTTTATTATAGTAAGCATAAAGTCTACAATATACATAATGTGTCTTAAGCCAGATATAGGAAAGACTCCAGCTTCAGTTCTTTAAGTTTCCAAAAGTATACAGAACGCATGGCAGGATGTCTTACTGCAAGAATTTTAAATGTTAAAGATGAAGCGAGAAATGAAAAAAAGAAATCAACTATTTGTAACGCATAAGTTATTGTATTAGAATAAAGTTCAGAAGTACGCAGACCGCGTGGCAAAGAGTCTTGTAACAAATTTAAATAATGAAAAAATGAACAGAGATCCACTATTTGTAATAGATAATTTATTGTATTACAATAATATAGAAAGAGAGAGGTCAGACTTAGTCCTTTAATTTCTCAAAAGTATCCACGACACATGACAGAAAGTCTTGTTGCATTTAAATGTTTCTGATAAAGTGATTACATTTTTTCTTTAATAAATTTCTTGCAATGAGACTTCCTGCAATGCGTTCCGCGTACATTTTCTATTATTTGAAGTCATTCACTATACAAATTATCTTTGTAAAAAGAAGTAAGATCCCCATAAAAAACTTCAAAAAAGTAAAAAAATTACGCCAAGTACATGAAAAAGTGGAGGACTTAAAGATTTATCATAGAAAAATAGAAGATCCTCCTAAAAAAATTCAAGAAAGTAGAAAAAGATGTGAAATGGAAATGAGGAGCCAGTACATGAAGGTCCTTTCCAGTAAAGTGCAAGGTGACACTGTGTAACATAATACCAAATGCTGTGTTCAACAGTGCAGACGTTCACACCCTAATGACAACTTATGTAAACTGACTGCTCCGCACTTTGGCGGTGAAATGAAGAAGCCAAATTGTGTATCAACCACAATCTGAGACTGTTTAGACATTTGCCTAAATGTCCGTGGCCTGGAAGTCAAATGCTTGGCGTGGCCAGGCAAAGTCAAGGTTTTGATGAATAAAAATTATTTTAAAATGTAAAATAATGAAAATGTACTCATATTGTCAGCGTTTTAAACTGACAAATTATTTGAAAGCCTGTGATAGGAGAGGTATCTGCGTCAATGAGTGTCCTTAGAAATATTTTAAAACACAATAAAATGAAAATGTACTCATATTGTCAAAGTTTTAAATTGACAAATTATGTGAAAGTCTACGAGAGAGAAAGTATGGGTATTGATGATCTGAGAATGCTTTATATCTATTGACCTATGCTTAGAGCCGTGCGTGTATTGGTGCAAAAGGCGTAATTTATGTCCTCCTAGCCGGGCTATCGATAACCGTTGTAGAGAACTGTGGCGTGCCATAACGTGGCGTG